CCTGCCACACCCATCGACAACTATTTTACTGACTAAGTCCTGCTGCCTGCCTTCTGCCTGCTGCCTGCTGCCATCGGCGGGAAACTAACGGGTCGTAAATTGAGATTTCTATTTATTGTTAGGCACTTTGGTGATGCGGCTGCCGCAGCAACAGTGCTGCATGGAAGAATTGCCCATCTCTGGCTCAAATATCTGACAGTTGGAGGGGGTTGCTGAGAGCAGGCTGAGTCGGGGTAGGTATGTCACTAACTCGACGCGGTCCGCCAATTTCACAATGTCGTTCAAGCATTTTTAATGGACTTTTAAGTTTGCTTTTATTGTTATTTGTTTGCATATTCTCGCATATAGTCTATATATACGTATATACATATATTCTTGTATACACGGACACTTATATAGTACATGTGGGAAGCTTAGGTTTAGTTGTTGTCGTCCCCGTTGTTGCCGCACTATTTTCCATCTATATAAATGTAATGTAAATGTTCGCGCTATTTATATTCATACGCTTGCCAGGGGTATTTAAGTTTGAGCACTTAATTTACATTTTAGAACTTTAAAAATTAAAATGAGATTATTATATATAATCTTCTTAGAAAACTGTAATAAATATACGAAAAATATATATTTTTATTAACTTACAATAAGCCGTAAGGAATTATTGCTTAACTTATGTTAAAACTCACATAAGCTACAGATCTAATATATGCATGATATTTAATCCAAAGGGTTTCTTAAAAACTTGAGCCATATTAAGCTGATGAAGGGTACTTTACTTTCGGTGCTTTCTAAAAAGTTTTTCTCGACTATCTTTGTTTAATATTTGGTTTGTTTTAGCAGCACTTTTGTTTCGAACTTTCATGGGACAAGTGCTGGACAAATAAAATTAACAATAGTTGCACTTAGCACGAGTCTTCTTGGATTTGATTATTCTCCCAGTTCCGAGGACCCAGGGCTATATTTGCTAGGCTATTATTACAATATTTGATCTAAAGCGATAAACCTTGTCACACCCACTGTAAGAGTTGGTATGCCAAATGGGTTTATGCCATTCTTGGGCAAGTGTCAATCACAAGCCAAATCCCTGGAGAAGGCCCTGTCACTTGGCTGATAACAATAAATTGGTTCGCCTCTATTGTGTGTGTGTGTGTTTGTGTGTGTTTGTGCGGGTGAGTTTAGGGTCCTATTATGGAAATTAAATTGATATTTAAGTGACACGGATAAATATCAGGCCCCTCACCACAATGTTGACGGCAAATTGTTTGGCCACAAAATTTCTATTGAAAATTTTATGAGCTCAAAGGCTGCTTTATGGGGCGACAAGAAAGTTTTTTTTTGTTTGGCTTAGCCACGTGGCCAGAAGAAGTTGTATTGTTTTGACCGCTCCTAAGAGTATCTAATGAGGTGTCCCTCTGTTGATGTGTGTCTGTGTGTGTTCAAGTGTGTGTATATTCGGTCAGCTAATGCTTGTGGTGAAGGGTGTCTGGTATTTGACCTTTTGGCTTTAGGGCTTGCCACTTTGTTGCTATTTTTGCTCGTTCATCAAAAGGTTTAATTAATATGTAAATGATTTCGAGCACGGCAAGTGGATTGAAAGGTTGTGGCTCATGGGGATGTTTAGTTGAATTTAGTTTACACTTGTTTAATTAAGACGCTTCATAGCGAAACTTAAATGAACTAATAGTTCACCCAAGTGGGCGTATGCGTGCTACAAACAAATTAAAATACCAGCCAATTTTGAAAAGCTGCGCAAAAAAAAAATGAGATAGAATTTATAAAATATTTATAGAATACATAACTTTGCACTTTGTCGTCTCAGATGCCGCAACAATTGCTCTGTTATAGAAATGCCAAAGACTTTCCCATATTTCCATATTCATTTTCAGCTCGAAAACTTTTCCTTTGGCAGACGCCAAACTGAAGAATTTATGAAATGGCAGCTGACAGAGAAGCACTCTTGTCCAGTCTTGTCCTGTTTGCTTGCACTCCAGCACTTCAGAATATGTATGCACATATTTAGTAAGTGCTAGCACTCTCTTACTGTCTCTACCGACTTTCTCTGTCCCTCTCTCTCTTCTCTCTCTCTCTCTCTCTCTCTGTTTGCCTCCCTCTCTTTCCTGATGACATATGTATGTGTGGCACGGAGTTTGGGCATCTCAGAAGTGGACAGTCCATAACTATATCAGGTGGTCAAGTTGTTGTTTTTTTTTTATAATTTTACTTTTTTATTTGTATTTGGTTGTGGGTAGAAAGCATGGCATGACCAACTGCAATTCAAAATGCAAGCACATTTCCGGCTTACGGAAATGCATTTCCGTTTCCGCTGTCAGCGCTCTCACAAAGTTGTGCAACAGCAAACTTTTGCCGCACATCAATTTCCAGCTTGACTAAAATGCCAAGCTGACACGCCCCACACAGAGACACACACAACCACACCCACAATACACACACACACTTACACACACACACACACATCCACATGCACACATCTATCTGCACGTCAAATTCACTTATTGGCCATTCAACCAATTTGGTTACACGATTTTGATACAATTTATTGCATTGCACGCCTCAATTGGCTTGCCAACTTGGAAATTTATTGGATTTGATGTGAATTTTATTAGCATATTCATGACTGATTGATTATGAAGTTCATGTCAGACCACAAAGCATTATACGAAATGCGTATAAAACTCGTCATAAAGTGATATAAAAAATTCAATTAAATACCACAAATTAATTCGCCTTAAAGTCTGACAATTAAACTGTCCACAGGTCTGTATGTTATTTTCATTCTTTACTTACTGCCACGCCCACATGCAGCTATCAACAAATAAAAAAATAAAAAAGAAATGGAAACGCATCGACGTTTACTGCCTCGTGTTTTTTATCATATCATATTTCACACTCAGCCCAAAAAAAAGTTCGCGCCTGATTGCCTTTTACACCATGCGTGTGCTTTTTTTGTCTTTTCGGTATTTTTGGTGATATTTTTCATCACGTTGACAGCGAGGCTCCACAATGCATATATAACTGCTGATATTCGTGTGGAGCTACGCTCGATACCTTTGCGTTGAGGCACGCATCGGACTTACTGCACCTGAAGTGCTGAGAGTTCTCTTATTGGATTTACATACGCTCATCGCAGCCATTGACAACATAAATTGCTTTAAGGTTGTGGAAGAATCCCTTAATGTTAATAATACGAAGTACGCAACGTTTATTAAAGGATTAATGTTGTATTGATTTACTTATCTGTTTAAATTATTTAACAGAATTTAAATTTAATTTTATATTCTTTGATTTGTTTAAAATCTAATCCTAAATTATTCGCAGCTTATTGATATATGTAAAGCTCATGGGGCTTTTGAATTTGATTGCATTACTTTCGTATTTAAATTTAAATTATATATGCTAGATTGAATAGGTGAAGTTTTATGTGGAATTCGCATGGCTTAACCAGAATTTTATTTTGAAAAAACATATACAATATTGGTTTGTTAAAGTGTTAGATCTGAAAGTGAATTGGCGTGTTAAATGCAGTGACAAAACTGTTTTTTCCATTTTAAAAAATTCAACCACCCACACAAGGTGAATATGTGGAATTTGTTCAAAGCTCTTTGATGACTTGAAATTTCGTCATTCTCCTTTTACTTCTTAAAGCAAAGGCAAAATGTATGTCAAATAATTTATAATAAATTCATTTTCAATAATTTTCCCTAATTAATTAATAAATAGCTTTTAAATATAGTATATACCTTAGCAGTGTTTAGGTAACATCAGCTGCCGTTTGACTGCTTAATCCACACACACACACACAACCAACACATACATCCAACACACACAACCAAAACACACACGCCCAACAGTTGGGCATTTGGGGCAGCCGCAATGTGTTGCGGCAGCTGTTGCTGCCACTATTGCTGGCACTGGCAGGTGCATTGCCAATCTCTGGGTAATCTAAGCGGGTGGACGGGCAAGCAGGGGATTTGTACGGAACATAATAAATATTTATTAGCTGAGCTGACGCTGGCCAAAAATTAAATTTGTTTTCATTAGGGCAAACAAAGCGATTAGGGCCAACAGGCAATTGTATGCTCAAGCAAATCTACCCCTTTTGCTGTTCCTTAAGCATACGCGAAAATGTGCTCAAAATTAAAAAGGGTATCGCCTTGGGGAGAGAGTTGACTCTGAGGGATGAGGTGTTTGAAGCCGCTGCCAAAACATTTCACGGGCTTAATTGCGCGCAAGCCAAGCAGATAAAAAAAAACACACACCACAACAAAAACACCAAAAAAAAGAAAAAGAAAACCTAATGAAAAAGTTTTGCCTCGCCGAAGAAGGAAAGCGGAGAGACAGACTTTGAAAAGCGCGTTGAACGCGAAAACCGTTGGAAAAGCGAAACAACAACAAAATTTAAGTAAATATGCGCCAAAGCGCAGACAAAGTAACAACACAAACAAAAAACCCCGCCAGGGGTGAGAAGTGCTCGCCAGGGTTGGCAGTAAACAAAATCACAATTAACTGGAAATGACAAAAAAAAAGTGGTGCAGAAATAAATAAATATTGGGCATGCCGAAAGACAAAATACCCTAGCTAGTCGATAGGACGAAAATAAAATACTCTGGCATAACTTCATGAATAATTAAGAATTGTAATGCTTATGAAATTCTAAACTCCACAGCTATCAAAATCATAATCTCTATTGAAAAAGTTTTCGAAAGAGAACAATAGCCGGATGCGCATATGAAAATAAAACAAATGGCGTCAAGTATTGTGATGCAGTCACTTTGAGGGTGTTCTAAATAAATTGGGCTGACGGGGAGAGCAGGAACGGGAGTGTGGGCATGACTGTGAAAAGGATATTTCGCGAATGTGTCACATAAAACATTTTGACTGTTTGCCGCTTTCTGCTGAACAATACAATTTGGATAAAACTCTAAGCTGAAGCATAAAAGTTTTAGCACATTTAATTAATTGAATTCATCATGTAGCCATAAAGATAAATTTTTTCTTGCCATCTCGCATTTAATTAAGCTATGTTTAAATAATTTAATTCAATCAACCAATAAGCGAAATTTGTTTTCATGCAGAACTTCAGAACTCTATCGCTCTCAGTCTCGTGCCTCCTCTTGAAATTAAAGATTATAGCGCTGACGACATCTTTTCATGGCCTCATTGAAGTCGTGGCAAATGTTGAGATCACTGTTCTCCTCGCTGCATTTGAGGAACTGCTTAATTTCAAAAGCGCAAGGACCCTCCTCAACAAGTTCACTGCGCGGTCGCCGCTCTGCCGCCGGCTGCTGAGCAACATCTGCTGTTTGAGATCCACCTCCGCCTCCACTGAATGCCCCCGTTATCCCAGCGCCCACGGCGTGACCTACAGCGGAGCCAACGGCTACTCCCGCTGCAGTGGCTGCCATATCTTTCATCATATCGCTGGTGGAACGACCAGCTGGTTCTGGTGTAGTGGAGGGCGATGGAACTGTTGCCGGTTTGGTATCTACTTTTTTGGGCTGTACAACTGGCACATTTCGGCTGTCGGAGCCTCGAGAGAAGACGCTGCGATTGCTGTTGCGACTGTTGCTCTTGGTGCTGCCGCCATGTCGCCCTGATACTGTAGGCTTGGGTGAAGCGCTGCCCGAACGTTGACGAGGCATCTCAGATGTGTAGTTTATAAGAGAATATCAAATATTTTTCTGTTTGTCCAAATTTTATCTGGAGATAATTTTGAAAATCTTTTTTGCAAGAAATTTCGAATGTAACAACGAAGTGAAGTTAATGACAAAGGTGGCTAACTCAATTTAAAGTACATCCCTACTTACACACACACACGACATTTTTTTAATTTCCCCAAGGACTTGACATTTGGCTTTTGTTAGCATTTTTTTCGCAGCCAACTAATTTATAAAACATTGGTAAAGGGCATAAGGTGGGGCCAAAAGCTCAAAGCCGGTTAATTGCCACCGTGCATGCCCCATGGCGCCACCTGCCTGTTGTCGGCATTCTTTTATTCTTCTGCCCCTCCTTTTTATTCATTTTCAACGCTAATTATGAGCACACACTAATACAGATGCAATAATGAATTTGCCGACAAAAAGTCAAATAAATTAGGAAATGAAATGAAATATTTCCGGTTCGTGTTTTTGAGAAATTCTAATGGATATTTGAGCACGAATGCGATTTGTGCCTGCAAATCAGATAAGGAAAATTGCAGAACTTAGCTTAAAAATCGTATCTTTGAGAGAAAATGTAACTATAAGCTTAGTGAGTGATCAAAAAGCAGCAGATTTTTGTGTATAGTTGTAAAACTAAACAATACTGAGGTCGTTAAATTTAACACAAAGTTCAATTAAGAGCTGATTATACCTTAAAATCCGCTAATGAATAAATATTTAGTAAAACACACTTCGTAATTGATACTACAAGCATAACAATTTGATTTCATAGGAGTTCATTTTGCAGAATAAATTATAAAGCATTTACGTATGGTAAACTTATATTTTGTAATTACCTTTAACAACTTCAAAGCATTCCCACTTAAAGTCTATCTTCTTTCACAATACCATCAAATTAATTCTTGGAAATTTGAGCAGAACGTTGAATTGCAGCTGAAATGCTTTAATTACTTTTGCACATGCAAAAGTCAAAGCTTCAAATTTGTTTCCTTTATTGTGCAACTTTGCGAGAAGTGAAAATACATGACTGAAATTAGTCAAACTGTTAGTAAAAAATCTAAATTATATTTCAAATGCGAGCACTACTTATGTGGCTGCCACACGCAGCAGCTACTCGAGGAGTTGTAATATATGAGTCAATGTGGCCAAGAGAAAATTTTATTAAATTATAACGAACAGCAAGTGTGGCCTGTGAATGCCACTTGACTGAAGCTGTGCGACACGCACCCCAAAAGAAAGCATTCAAACCACTCGCAGTCTGTCAGTGAATGTGGCCATGTTAATCAGCGGGGATATGCGAACACAATTTGCACGCACTGTGTTATGAATATTTAAGTAAATAATATTTCGCCGCTACTACTGTCAGCTGCTGCTGTCGCTACTATCGGCAGCTGCCATGTGAATGGTTGTGACAGCAACAACAACAACAACAACAGCAACAATAACAACAACAAACAGCAGCTGATGCTGCTTGCTCTTGGGTTCTAGTAGCTAAAGCACCGAAACTGGGTCTCAAATGCTAATTTCATTTTGTTTATTGTTTTGGCTACAACTTAATTTGCCTGTCTGTGGCGCTGAAATGTTTATAAATCAATCAACATCAATAACCGCGGCGGAAAAACTTTTGAGAAGCAGACTCGATCTCGATACCGACCCTAAGATGAATAGACTTCTACCCAAGTAGATTCCTTAAGTGCTCGAATCAAGGCACTTTTCTAAAATAAACTCGTATAGGCGCTAAATTAACATTGCTTTTCCCCGGGCCCACGTTGCGTATGATGAATAAGTATCAGCGCAGGAAAGAATGCTTTGCTGTTTTGCATAGACAATTGATGTGATAAAAAATGGCAAAGTCGAAAAACACAACAGACCATAAACATGCAACGAGCAGTGTATAAGAAATACGAGCATTAGCTATTGATATGCCGCTTTAGTTGTATCTGTTGTTTATCCCTTAAATATGCATACATAAATAAGTGCGAAACGATTCTTTTAATGTGTCCAGAAAGGCCTCAAATATATGTATACATAATATACTCCGCATTTATACTCCGAAATTATCAAGAATTATTTATCTAACTCTAATTTGTATTTATAAATAATTGTAATTTGAAATAAATTTTAATTTTAATACAAGCCAGTTTAATCACAAATTATGTTTGCATAGAGAGCATTTCACAGTCGTACATTAATAATAATTTCAGTAGCTTTCTATTTGTATCCGTGACAGAATTTTTGCATACATGCATAACATTATTTTTGACAGCCACTTTAGCAGTATTTTTTCATTTTTCTCAATCACATGTGTGTATGTGCTAGAAAGTGACATAATCTCAGATCAAAATTTGTACTTGAGCATTACGGAAAATGACACACTTTAGATACATATATCTATTATTAATGTTAATGGCTTTGCTTAAATGCAGCGTAACTTTGCGATTCCCGGAATCATATATATTTCTAAAAATTTACAAAAGTCAGCATAATGAGCGCGTAATATACCCTTTAAATGGAGGCGTTGTGAATTAAGCAATTGGCCAATCACTGAACACCTCCGTGGCACAAACATGCTGCATAATTCAATGCCTCAATTATTGAATGTATGTGCAATTTGTGGCACAATTGTAAGTATGTTTAACGGGCGGCGAAAGCAAATGAAACGAAACGAATCGGATTGAGGCAGAGAAACGCAATTAAAAATACATTGCGGCCCCATTGTGCCACAACGAAAGTCTTCAACTGCTGCTGCATTCATAATCGTATGCAGATTGGAGTGAAAAAGAAGAATGGGCCACGTTTCAAATGCGGTAAATTACAGTTAACGATTTTGTAGCACAGCAATTTGCTTTATCTTTAGATTTCTATCTATTGCTTTTGTAAATGTGGCGTCGGCGTTTGCTGCGGTTTGTTTTGCATGCCGCACTGGCACCTCCGTGCAACCTTCTGTGCGACGAGCCAACAGTCATGCCGCAGTCAACATTTGGTCATTGGCCAACGCCATTGTGGTCAGCAACATGAGCCTGTTTGTGTGTAAGTGTGTGTTTGTGTTAGTCCGTGTTCGGTTGGCTCACAAATGTTGCAGCACCATAAAGGTGTTGAAATAACTGCTGCACAATTCCTTCTTTTTTTGTTATGTGACTTGCAAGAGGCCATGGGTATTTCAATTTTGTCAAGCATAATGCAACGGATTGAGGCAGGCTGTTCCGATGGCATAAGTTGGGTTGCTAGACCTTAGTAATAATAATAATAATATTAATTCATTAGAGTATTCACAGTCGTTTATCGTTTTCTATGCAAATTTGGCTAATAGGAAATTCGATGTCTTCTACAAAATAAATACACAACATCAACTTAATGAATATTGAGCAATTTTTGTATTAAATCGGCTGTAGGATTAAGCTTTACAACCAAAGGAGGCATATTAAGTAGCTGTTAAAGCAACGTGTTATCTCCGTATACATGTACAAGGGTATTATGTATTCGTCATTAGAAAGTGTCATTGAGGGGTCTCTCCTATGCCATTATTGTTGCCGTTGCCGTTGCCGTTGCCGTTAGCGTTGCGTTGGCGTGTGCCTCAATTGTTATGGCCTTTTATGGCGATTGTGTTGTGGGCGCAATGCAAATTGGCGGCACATAATTATGTCGCTGGCACGACTTCGAGTACAATACGAGAATAATGGAATAGAAAACGAGTGGGATTACAATAACACTGTGTTACTGCTAAAAGCTAACATTTCATTTTTTTTCAGTACTTGGCAGTTGGAAAACCAAACTTTTCACTTAGAATTTGGTCCTTTCATTGCTTTGCTTTGTTTTAATCTGTCCAGAAGTTGTCCGTTTGCCAACTCGCACCTGTCTAACAAGCAAACTGCCGCTCGAACAACTAATTTATATAAAATTCGCTTTATCGTGAGGATAAAGTAGAATAGGGAAAACTTTTAATTTGCTTACGCCATGACAAAAAACTCAACCAACAAAATAAAATCAACAGGAAAAACCATTCCACAGTTAAATAAAAAAAGTGTATTTTATAAAACTGTCAGCTCTGTAATTCGCTTTAGCCTTTTGAAATTTGCCTAAAGTGTTTTAATGAACTTCTTAATTAATATTCGTAAATTGGTTATAATTATTTATTGTTGTGTGAAAGTTTTTAATGCTGTTTAATATTCCAAGTGAACAGTTTGAGAGCATTTTTAGAAAGTTGTTTGAGGTTTTTAGAATATTTTAATAATGTATTTATGAATATAAGAATGTATATTCAATATGTTATCTTCATTTATTAATTAAATTATTAATAATGTAAACAATTCCTTAGAATTAAAAAAAAAACAAATGCAATTTTTTATTTTTAATGCGAAACATTTTCTAAAACTTACGAGTTGTTCTTTAGAAAGATAATTAGATTTCAGCAACTTCTTACTTAGTAAATCTTATTTTCGAATGAAAATGAGTCGTTATACATAAGAATTTTAATAAAATAGCTGATTGATTTCGAAATTAATGTATTTCTAAGAAAACTTTCGTAAATATTGTGAGCTGATCTATATGCTAGTTTTTTATTAAGGAAAGTGCATTCGAAAGGTGAGTAGCAAAAAAAATATATCAGTTACTGAATGCTTATTTGGACATTTGGGCAGGTGGTGATTTCATTTGCCACGTCGAGCTTTCAACAAGTGACAAGCAAAGCTGTTACTGCAACTGCAACTTTTTCTTGTTTCTAACCATTTCCATTCTCTTACTGTGATTGCAGCTGATGTTACTATTATACCCTAGAACCCTTGACTAATGATCGCGTGCCAATGCAATGCCTAACTGCTATTTGGACAACTGGCCACGAACAGCAGCGTTTGCTGAAGCGGCAAAGTAACTGTCACCGGGCAAAGCAAACAAATGAAATTGGTTGGGTTTTTGGTGGGGTCGGCATAAAAAATGATTCGCCAGGACTCTTCAAGCCGAGTCATTTTTTAAGCTTAGCACTGGCCATTAAGGCGGCGTCTTAATTATATTTACATTTTTTGCATATCACGAGCTAGCTAGCCGAGTGTCGAGACTGGCAGCTTTTGCTACTGTTTCTACTG